ATCTTATACTTAAAATTGGAAATATTATAGGTTATACTTATAGTTCAAACAAGAAAAAGATACAAGGACTTAAATTAGAAAGTTTAGATCAAGTTCTTAATTATAAATCAAAGAATAATTATTTGTTTGAATTTGTTATAGAGATGCTAAAAGTTAATTCTTTTGATATTAATAACTTTATTAATGAATTTGAAATGTTAACTAAGAATAATCAAACAGATTTAGAAAGTATAAAAAATAATTTAAATGATGAAATTCATAAATTTAAAGAAAAATTAAACATTTTTTATTCCATGGACAGTGAATACCAAAAACATTTTAGTAACTTCTTTGGATATGGATCTGAAATGTTAAAAAACACTTCAAAGGAATATTATGTAGCATATGAATTAACTGTTAAATGTAAGAAACTCTTTGGTGAAGATCCTAACAGTAATTTTGTTAAAGTAAAACAGGACATTTTTATATTAATTGAAAGCTTAAGAAAATACTTAAATTAAAATATGAAAGTAATTTTATTTAAAATTCAAGGACATCCTTTAATTGATTAATAAGAGATTTTTCAACTGTGTTATAAATTTCTATTTCATTAACAAATCCTCTGAATACTGAATCTTTAACTTCATTTGTTTGAAAAGCATTATATAGATCAATAATCAACCCTGCACATTCCTGATCATAATTACGATAGGCATTATTATCTTCTATACAAACTTTTAAACAAAAAATAATTTCAGGTAATGTTTCACACAATGTAGAATTATTTCCAACTGCTATTACAATACATGAGAGCATCTTGAGAGTCTTCTGGCGCATCTTATCAACAATTATGGGATTTGAATCTCTTTCTAACTGACATACGTAATTTGACATTTGAACACATGTTGGAATATAATCAATAAACTTTGATCTAGAAGAAAGTGCAAATACTCCTAAAAGTTCAATCAACTTAATTTTCATATCAAAAGATGTAGATTCTTTAATTATATAACTAATTATTGAGTAAACTATATACTCAAACCAATTGTTTAATTCTATTTGATTATCAATAGCAATTTCAGTGTACAAAGGTAATATACTTTTACAAATCTGTTCATTATCGGGATTAAAATCACTTATAACCTTCTCAAGGATCCCAGTAATAAAAGTTTTATCTAAATAGGAATAT